ATTTACCAGTATGCTATTGGCGAATCTTAGGATAACGGTGAAAATGAGAGCGTAGGCAGCAAGCTCGGTGGGGCCAATGTGGCCGACAAAGGCTTGGCATATGACGCTTATACCGAATGTCGAGAACCGAATGAGGATTGAGGGGCCCGCGACTAACCACATTTTCTTCGACTCGGTCCATATTTTGTTCTTGAGAGTGTCTTCCTTGTTGTGTTGTGTGTTCAAAAGGTTTTCGTTCGTGTCGCCTTCCATAATTAGGCGAAAGTTCGTCTGTACTCTGCATGCGATTTTTTCGTGAACACATTTGTTAAGAATTTTCGGTGAAAGGTGAAGTAATTTTTGCTCCAATAATTTTTTCCAGAGTAGAGTTGTTAACAAAACGAGCTCGTATAAAGCTCGATTCGTTAACAAGTTGGGTTAAGCTCGACTCGGCTTTTTAAGGCTTAAAATGAGGAATTATGTATTGTTTATTATAGTTCGATTCTTAAACGAAACGAGCCGGGCTCAACCTCTGTTCGGCTCGTTTACGCCCATATAGTAAGATAATCTTTTTCTTAGACAGAAATCTTGTCATGATTCAAAAATCCACACATCTAAGCAATTGATAATGACACAGAAAGGTAACTGAGACACCAACTCATTAGCAGATTATCTTAACTACAGGAGAATGGAGTTGAGAGTGGTAAAAGAAAAAAGCTTTGAAAATTAAAGAATTACCTAATCAGTTCTAGTGATGGCCCTTTTGTTCTTCTTCTTCTTGGTTGTGTTTGCCTTGATAGAAAAAATGGGAAGGATATATCATAAAATACATATATATGTATGTGTGTCCATGGACTATGCATAAGGCTAAAGGCCATAATTACTTGGTGAGATGTAATAAATTGTCTTCACCAAACCCAATTGTACTTGCAATGTGGTGGGGGGCCAGGTTTAGTAGACTGATGAGCTTCATTTGAAAAAAAAAAAAAACTACAATGGATATGATCAATACTTATATTTTGATCCAACTGTTAAAACCTAATAAGGGTGAATGCTAAAAGAAAAAGAAAAAAAAAATCTAAAATGAAGATGAGAATATTTATGTTTTAATCTAAAAAAACCTTGAAGTGACCAATTTAACAATGGTGATAGGGTACTAATATATAATCTCAAATAAGATACAATATGTAACCAACAGTTTACACGGATCAATTTAATTGTCATGTGATAGAAAGAAACGCTTTAACCTCAAATAAGGTATAATCGTTAATCAATGGCTTACACGAATCATTCCAACTATCCAATAGGGTTGTAAACGAGCCGAGCTCGGCTCGTTAGATGAACGAGCAAAAAATCGAACATGAGCCGAATTATAAAAAATTATATAAAAAATATCTTTTCGAGCCTTATCGAGCCGAACTCGTCTCGTTAACCAAACGAGGTTTATATGAGCTCGAGCTCAGCTCGTTAAGGTCTCGAACTCAAGCTGAACTCGAGCCTTGATGAGCCAAGCTCAAGCCGAGCCCAGCCAGACTCGTTTAATTTAACAACACTATTATCTTTTTTTTTTTTATACAAAGAAGGAGGCAGTAGGCCTAACGATTAAACGAGAACTCCGGGAGTAAGAAACCCCGATCACATCATGCTCGAGCCAATCACCCAAACTAGAGGGAGTAGACACCAAATGAAAGTCAATCGAATAAGAAAACGTTAATCTCGCCAAGTAGTCGGCCGAATAATTTGCCTCTGTATGCGCGTGTCGAAGTTGAACACTCCACTTCCTTTGAATCAAACGACGAATGGCTTGACTAATGCTTCGTGCGCCCCACAAATACTACTGGACAGCACTGCTATCAAATAAACATGAGAGACTATTATTCTAACTATTGGAGAGTTACAAACTCCACATGAGACTAACAACCAAAAAAATAGTAAAAAAAAAATTAAAATAAAATAATAATAATTGCAGGTTGGAAATTAAGGTTAAGGTGACAAGACAAAATATGTATGAGGTGATTCTCACATGCTAAATTCAGCTTACCTGTTCGTTAGCCTGGCTGTCTATCACTCAAAACTCACATTGTTTTTGGATCTATAAAGTTTTGAAAACATTAAAAAAAAATAATAATGATGTCTGATAAATAGGCTAACTCTTCTAGAAGGTGTCGTTTCGGATATGCTAACAAAACAAAAGTGCCTAGTTCAGTTTTCTCGTGTGCGAGCAAAGTTCACAACTTAATTTAGAGCATGTTGGTATACAAAAAAATTCACTTAAAATTTCATTCAACTCAAAATCTAACTCAATCTTAACTCAACTATAGTATCTTCAATATTATCAATATAAATATATAATTAAATAATACCATCCGATCATTTTTGCACATCTACATTAATTCACTATTCATTCACCTACATAAGTTTAACTAACCATCACTTCATATCTCCTTTCTCATACTTTTACATCAAATCAACTTTAATTATTTTATTTAAAATATTATTTTAATATAAATCTAAAATCCCACTAACAACAAATCATACTACTACATCTTTTTCCAAATTAACTCTAATTAACCAAAAAAATCCACTTTTAAGTGAAACTTTTTGTATACAAACATGCCCTTAGAGCTGTGTTTAATTTATTAACTGATTAGGGTGGGAACATAGTTCATGGTTAACTTAAACTATTAGTTTAAGAATTTTTTAGTGGATTTTTTCAACTCGTATAAAAAATATTGTAGTTTCTTAAAGTTAAATTTTAGATTGCAGTTTAAGAAAATTCGTAAAGGTTGGTGATATCATATGTTATATATTTATGATATTTTACAAACTAGTGTATGAATTAAGCCAGAACTCTAATGACTCGCCCATCGAATCAATAATGTGGATGATTGGATATAATAAGACTGTTCCAATTTTGTTTGATTAGTCAATAATGATATCATTGATTAGAAAAAATAAAAAATAATTTTTTTTACCCCAAATTTCTTTGCAGTCACAACAAAAAAAAAAATATTATTATTTTATATTTTACATTTAAAAATATTATTCTATCTATCTATATATCCAACTATGCAAATTATCACATTATTTAATGCAAGATCAATTTTAATTATTACTTTATATATCAATTGTTACCAATAACTAAAGTTACTTATGAGTTCTTCCATGTTCTTGTTTCATGTTCTCATTTTTTGTCCAAAGAAGTCGTGATAACATTACAAATTTTGAAAGAAATTGTATTGCAAGATACAATTTGTATTTATTTTGTTCGCCAAAGATGGAATTACATGTTTCGTTTTAAAAAAGAAAAATAACCATATATCATTTTGAAAAAACAAAAAATTCGTCACAAGAATGCAATTTCAAAAAATATCGTGGGAGGTGCAATTTTATGTGAATTTAAAAAGTATTCACTTTTATACACTTTTGTAAAATAGTAGTAGCGAGTTAAGTCTGCCGAATCATTAAACATATATACTATTTTCACAAATATATATGTTTTTATTAAAAAGTATCTTACTTTACAAAATATCATAAACAAAAATATAAAAAAATATAACATTTGATAATCTAATTTGTAGTTTTATTCTTAAAATATCGTGTTATGACGTTCTCACACAAATTATTTGTTTTTTGTAAAAGCAGTTTTAATACTACACTACTGCCAGGTCTGTTCTCGTCATTCCAATCCAACACATGAGTAAACCAAAACATACCACGCCATGATGTTGACTGGCGTTAGCCTATTTCAACGGCCACAACAATGACGAGCATAATCATTGTTGCCAAATTCGAAACCCTCTGAAAGTAGAGAGAGAGGGGGAGAGAGAGAGCTCGTTTGTACAAATCCTTTTTTTTTGGAGAATTAATTAAATAAATTAATTTAAAACCCTAGTTTGTCCATCGATTAGCCCTCTCTCTCACTCGAATTCAAAGCTCAAGAGCCCATCTAATCTGTAGCCACCGTCTTCGTCTTGCATAATTTTTGGGGGAAATTGCTTGATTTCTTGTTTCGAGCTGAGAATTTCGAAAATGAGCAGCAAAAGAGAAGAGGAGAAAAATGAAAAGATTATTAGGGGTCTAATGAAGCTCCCGCCCAATCGCCGATGTATCAACTGCAACAGCTTGGTAATTTTGTGTTATCTTTTTGATTTTTTTTTTCGGTAAATGCGTATCGGGTAAGCTTCTTCTTTTGGTTCGGGTAAGCTTCTTCTTTTGGTTTGAATCGATATGTTTTCTGGTTGCAGGGTCCTCAGTATGTGTGCACAAATTTTTGGACGTTTGTTTGCCTGATATGCAGTGGAATACAGTGAGTATCTGTTGTTTTCCTGTGTAAATTGCATTATTGTGGTTGTAGTTATGGATCCAAAGGAATAAACTAATTACACAAAGTGTTGCCCAAGATGAACTTTTGGTTCTATTGTTAAGGTATAGCTTTGGATATCTGGAACGTTGTGGTTTTAGGTGCAGTACTTTCCAGAATGTGTTGCTCTTAAAAGAAAAATGTCTTTCTAGATTCTTTACATTTGGAATTGAAAAATCCTTCGATGAACTTTTATCAACAGTTTGATTGAAGAGTCAAGTATATAGATTATGTTTTCTGTTTGATGCCGGCTGTTTGAGACAAGTCATGTAAAAGCATAGAGTGATAGACTGATTGATTGTTCGTGATCCCACGGGGATCTTATTTTACCTGTGCTGTTTGGTTTTTTGTGTACTTTTGCTTTTAACCTATTGTTTTTATATTCAACCTCCTCAGAGGCTCTTACTTTGGCCATAGTCCGAAGCTAAATTCTTTTTATCACTGAGAGTTTTAGTGAATGATATTTAACGCGTGTAATGCTTCTTGATTGCAGTCGTGAGTTTACGCATCGCGTTAAGTCTGTTTCAATGGCTAAGTTTACTTCTCAAGAGGTGGATGCACTTCAGAAAGGCGGCAATCAGGTAAAATATGTGCACAATCATTTGCCATTTAGCAACATTCTGATGCAGTTACTCATTATATACTATTGCAGCGTGCAAGGGAACTGTTTTTGAAGTCCTGGGACCCGCAAAAGCAGAGGCTTCCAGACAATAGGTTTGGATCCAATTAAAGTAATGTCTGGTACATTTTTCTTCTTTTTAAGTTGGTTCTTAGACGATAAGTTTTTGCATGGCAGCAATGTTGATAAAGTTCGTGAATTTATCAAGAATGTTTATGTCGAAAATAGATATGCGACAGAAAAGTCATCTAGCCGGCCTCCAAGAGATTCACAGGTTATTATACATGTAGACCCTTAAAATTCTTAACATTATTGACTGATGGGTTTTTGTGGTTGCTAATAGATTTTCTGTTATGTCACAACTAGTTCATGTCAAATTGAATGTAGACTAACATGGGATCTTGTACTGATTTCTCAGAACCATGGAGACGAAACGAGGCGCGCAAGTTCATACCATTCCTACTCTCAAAGCCCACCTTACGATTTTCAGTATGAAGAACGCCGTTACGGGAAAAATGCACCTGCACTCACCAGAAAGCCCGGCTCTGACCGAGCCGTGTATGAGGGAAAATTCTCTAGCTTCTTGAGTCCTAGTCGTTTAAGTGGTGCAAATGAGGGATCATATCCTAGGGTTTCGGACTATTCTGTTTCCAGTGGAGGTGATCCATTCAGACCTGATGTGCCTAGTCCCCAGAGAGAAATTGGGAGCCCGTCTAGTGATACTTCAAGTCATTTCTCACACACTGGTATCCATAATCCAGATGGAAATAACATAAACAATGGAGGAAGGGTGCATCATCATGCCCAGGTCATACTTCTTCTGATTCCTAACCTATCTAGTAGAAACATAAGTTTTAAAGTGTTTGGGAATGAAGGTTGTAAGGCGTTGCAAATCTTTAATGCGATTCTGAATCTGTTTGGTAATGCTGGTGGGTGAAGTGTTGTAGTGAACAATGGTTTCTATGCAATTATCATGACTGTCCTGGTAGATTTTTAGACTACGCTGCTAACTTGTTCCCATCTCTCACGCTCTTCAAGAAATAGAAAAAGCTGAAAATTTTGGAAAGACAGGTAATGAGTAATGGCAGTGATATCTTTTCATCTGCTAGATTTATTAAAGAACTTTGGAAGGGTTAGGGCTGTAATTGTGAGACTACTCTATTTTATATAGATATCTGCGTTACTCCTAAATCATGATTATTTTCTGGAGTGCTTGTAATTATTTTATGTACTTATTCTGGAGTGCTTGTACTTATTTTATGTACAATTTATGAAGGCAGATCAATAATTTATTATGTCAGAAATGAATTTTGCTCCGCAATGGTTAAAACTAGTAATTTCTCCTATTCAGTGTTATCAAATAGCCGTCATGGTCGTACGGCGTGGTGGATTTCTGCGTTACCACCATGAGAAGTTTGTGAAGGATGCCGGTTATGGTGGCGCCACATGCTGCCATGGCAGTATTTTTAGCCTACCACCATTTTCGGCCAACCGCCATTGATAACACTGCACTATTTTTTCTTCAATGTCTGAATAAGTTCACACAATTGAAAAAAGAGCGAAGGTCTTACAGACAGCTCTGTTATTTCATATTTTACATAATTTATAGTAGGAAGATGGTTATGTCCTCTGCTAAAGTTGTCTACTCGTGCTTTTACACTGACTTGTAACTTTCCTCATCTTGAACATGTACTTTATATATTTCTAGTTAAAATCTGTGGCAGATTGTGCCAATTTCATCACACAAGTGCCTGATTGCCGAATACTCTTATATGCAGAGAACCACATCTTCGGGTAGCTTTGGATCGTTCGACTCCATGTCTTTCAAGTCTGTAAATTCTGTCGGCCTGCAAGAAGTTGTCTCTGAACCTGAGCAATCCTTGGACATGTTCCATAACAAAACTCCTTCTTTTCCTTCACCTCAAAATTCAATTCCCACCACCTTCAACGGTTTGGACCTTTTTAGTGAACCCTTTGCACCTCAAAATGTCACCTCTGCACCTAAAACTCATATTCCAGACCAGTCATTGGCTAGTCCTGTTGATTTATTCCAAAAATCTCCTAGTCCTTCTGTGGCCACATTTGGTGAGCTGCAGAATCTCACAGCTCTACCAAAGCAGCAGTCTGTTGCTCATTTTAAAGGCGAGAATTCTGAAATGGTAATGCCGGACAATGGAGGATGGGCAACATTTGATGTTCCTCAGAGCTCACTGCCTGTGGGAACTGACAATACAATCCCGTCCTTAGAGCCGTCTCCTGGTGGAAATAAACATGGAGTTGTTAACCCTTTTTCACTTGATCAGAGTTACTTGAATCACAATTCAGCGTATCATGAACCTTCTGCTTCAATGCATGCAGTTCGGCATGATGGCCTGAAAAATGTTGAAACCGCCAGAAATAGCGCCCCTGTAAGTATAATCATGCATCATGTATGGCTCAGTGTAATTAAAACTTGTTCTTCCCTTTTTTTTTGTTTTTTTTGGAGGTATTTATAGATATGTTAAGTTCTTGTTGTGTGTGTGTGTGTGTGTGTGTGTGTTTTCAGGTGCAGTTGTGGAATGCATTTGAAGAATTTCCTGGACAACAGACTATTGATGATGTACCAAAGAATAGTAATCGAGCTGCAGTACCTCATGTTTCAGATGCTAATGAATCCCGTGGGCTTGGTGTAAATAAGGTAAGGTATATTTCCTGTTAATCTGATGAAAATGTTGCTTTTCTTGTCCTTATATGCAGACCATTATTCTAGCAGGCTTTGGGTGGAAATGTAAGAACACCAAACGAGGTTGGACCTCCTTCGTCTAGCTTGTCTTCACATTTCGGTATGCCGGTGCATAATATCTCGACGGTTCCCATAGTGGTCAGTTTCTGCCTCCTTTTGGTGTCTGATAGTACGATAGACTGGAGCTCAATCACTTTTCCCATAACTTGAATCTGTATCTTTTTGTATCCTGTGTTATTGTAGACTGGAGCTCATTCACTTGCAACCGGGCTGAAACCTACCAACCCCTTCGATTTTGACCTTCCATGTGATGCTGCCTTGGAGTCTAGCAGTATGGTACGTTTTTGTTACTAATGTTGTAATGTTGTGTAGATCTTATTTTTAACTTAATTAGTTAATTGTGTGCCTTATCTGCGAGCATAAAAAGATAGTAGATCTGCAGGGACCTTTTTGTGTTAGGTAGAGAACATGCTTAATAGTTGAACAGGTTCATGGATTATTTTTTGCATCTTTTAATTTTGTGAATCTGTTACACTGACACAATGGCGCCAAAATTATATGCTCATGTGTTTACCTGTTAAACTATTTAATGATATCACTGCTTAGTATTCATAATTCCGCACCATCCTAATAAATAATAATGGACGGGAGTTACTCAAGTAGCAGGATTTACAGCACTTGATTGAAGTATGCTAATCATGCTTGTGTTCTTAATCTCATATGAACTTTTAGGAGGACTAGGTAAAATACCCGAATTTATTCCAAAACCTGTCATGGACACAAGGAAATGCAACTCTGATTTTGATCAAACACGTAGCCCAAAATTCTATAGTTGGCATTAGAAGAAATACAAGATTTATTTTTTCTTTTTCCCCTCCTGTTTTGAGATAGTTTCTATTGAAGTGGGATGATTTTTCTAATATTACGACATTGTGCTAATAGAATCAGTTCTGGGACATGAGTTCATTGCAAGCAGCTCTACCAGACAATCATATACCAGATCCTCACGTCAGTGGTCCAAATGGATCCTGGTTTCCCCAGAATTCTCTTGCATCCTATGCTCCAAGTGGAACCACATTTGATCCTCCTCGTGGTATATTTTTGTTTCTGCTTGGTTATTATAAATATGTTCGTTCATTTATTTACATACACACTGTATTTATTCTTTGTGCACAGGGTCTTTCGAATTTATAGTTGAGCAAGTGCCGAACACCAGAATGTCGTAAGCCATTTTTACTTTTCTTCTTTGGCGTTACCTTTTTTTTATGGATATAAAATGTTTTCCATGTCGTGTAGTATGAAGTTTTTCAGGCTCATTACTTGAAGGGATAAACCTACTAACATCTATATGTTGATTATGAATATTAAAATATAACAGAACAGAAAAAACAGTGGTTATCCTGATGGAGGCCAAATTAACTTTTTTCATTTTCTTTTCAATAAATAAAATATTTTTGGTAATTCTTGAAAAAGTGAGGTGGAATTACAATATAAGATTCTCATACTCAAGTCTTCTTGCCTTGCTACAAACGGGTGTCATACATTTTCTCATTAGCTTTTTACCCCTTAGGCTTTAGCGCCGAAAAAAGTGAAAAAAAAAAAAAAAATGAAACTAAAAAATAAGTAAATAAAAACACCAGCCTTACTAAGTAGTAGAGATATCAAAGGACCGGCCCATTTAGACCCAAAAAGTAGCGACCAGTTTAAATTAGGCTTTTTTAGCCGGAAGCCATTTAAGGCTAGCTCATTTAACACCTCTTTTCTTTTGCAGGACTGTCTCTCAAGGCCCTTTTGCTGCACCTATTGGAGGAAATCCTTTTGCATAGTGTTTGACAATCTCTGTCAATTTGCATTATTTATATAGAACTTGTTTTGGCCGTTTGCTTTTGTTTGCTTTTGGTTATTTTCTCCAGATGTGTAAACCTCTCTGCTGTGTGATATTCAGATCTCCCACTTTAGCGTTTGTATTCGTTAATAGACTTATAGAAACGAGATATAAATCTGTTGGAAAAAAAATTGTGTCCATTCTTTGTTGTATAATATTAATCAAGTCGCCGTATTTGTGTTAGCCTATTTCTTTGTCCATAGCATGAGTTGTAAATGTTGCTGCTGATGAATTTTAAATGATGGTTGAATATGATGTACTTGGCTTTTGCTCTTCATTAACTATTTTTCTGAGATTCTGTATATTTTAGGCCTTAGGAGCATCTATAATGCATTGTGTCTAGTCTTACTTATGTGGTATGTAAATAAATTCTAGTCTTGGATGACATGGATAAAATTATGTAAAATTGGTAAAATTCACTCCAATGCAAAGAGATTAGGTCTCTACTTGGTCTAAAATAGACTTAAGGTTAGATCGAGTTTTTTCTTTTGGCTCCCACATCAGTAAGACCTAGTCTACTTTTGTTTGTAGACTAGGTCTATTTCTTAGGTGGTATACAATTTTTTGTTTGCATTGGTGATCGACATTTTTCTCTGAGATTCTTATTTGTTGCAAATCAAGATTGAGTTTTTCCTTTTCCATTTCCTTTTTTTTTTTAAAAGTTTTCGACGTCTCGAGCTTTAGCTTCTCCTTTCCCCTTAGCTAAGCAGTTTTTGTTGAGGGATGTGAGAAATCTTGATTTCTTTTAATGTGACGTCCAAGCGTTGTGTTAGCTAAGCAGTTTTTGTAGAGGGATGTGAGAAATCTTGATTTCTTTTAATGTGATGTGGAGCGTTGTGTTCCTGAATAATCCAAATGGTGTTCGACTCAAATCTCTTTTCCAAGTCGAATAATCTACTTAAATAATATACACTTTGGTCATGTTTTTTTGTTAAGAGTTATAAAACGTATTGAATCAAAACAAATACCGAACAATTTAAATTTAAAAAATAAATTCGAATAAAAAACCTTGAAGCAGCCGTATTCAAATATTAAATTCGTATTTGATTTGTTGCAACAACGAATACATTGGTTTTAAAATTTATACTCAAGGGAAAAATATAAAAATACGAAACGATACTGTACGTACTACAAACCAAACTATTGAGTTGATGAAAATGCTACTATAACATGTTAAAGAATTGTTGACATATATTTTAATAAATCACTATCAAAAATTCAAACTCAAGGTAAAAAATATTGAGTTGATGAGAATGCTATTATAACATGTTAAAGAACTGTTGACATATATTTTAATAAATCACTATTAAAAATCATAAAATAATGACCATACAAATGGGAAAACTTTAGATTATTTTCGAAAAGATTTTTTTTTTAAAAAAAAGAAGAAATTTATATATATCTGTCCCCATTAAAATGCTCCGCGTCCTTTTCCTCACACAGTAGTCACAGGTACTTGTTTACCTCTTATTCGATATTTTTAGCTGATAAATAACGCTGACTTTGATTCCTCTGCCAAAATAGATACCCATAAAACCAGAGTGCTTATCTCGTTCATTTGTCTTTTTTTTCTTTTCTCAAGAACCATCTTACTTCTCGTTTAGCCATTTCCTCAAGAGATTCAAAGCCCAGAAAACAAGAATATTCTTAGCTGAGAATAAGGATAAATGGCGGATCAGTTGACAGATGATCAGATCTCTGAGTTTAAGGAGGCCTTCAGCCTATTTGACAAGGATGGCGATGGTATTCTACTACTTTTAATTTCTAAATAAAAGATAGCTTTTTTTTAGCTTGATATTTAATGGCCATAACGAATTTATGTCTGATTTTATTCGAGTCTTTGTTGCTGGACTCGTGTATATATGCTGATATCTGAAATTCGTCCGTGGGTTTTTGTAATCTATGTCAGATCTGATTGATTTCCATATTTTTTTAGGATTTACAGATAAAAATAATAAAAAATCGTTTCTTGGTATTAGATAGAGATATGGTTAAATTCCTAATCCCAATTGCTTGAGTTGTGAGATTGGATTGTTTTGGAGCTTTGGTGAATATGTCAATAGGGTGAGTATTTTCCTTGGTTGGATTTTGATGATAGATTCAATTTGTTAAAACTTTGGTCCAAAGCTATAGCTTTTTAGACAGTAACTGTCAAATGGTTTGGGTCATGCTAATGGGTGTAACTAATTTAGTCTTTGACAGCAAAGGGAAAGAGATCTTGTCTCTTGTTTCTTCTATTCATAACGGAATAATTAGACTATTAGTTCATATCATAAGTTGAATTAATAGCTCGAATATTTGAAATTGCTTGTGAAGTATGTTATAGGCATCTGTGTTTACATGCTTATGATGGCTAGATTTCAACTCTTGTAATTCTCCGGGTAACTTTTGCAAAATCATGATTTACGTATGTAGCTTTACTATCACCAACCCCATATACTTACAACAATGGCTCCGCTTTCCAACTTTTATTCACTATTTTATCCCTAATTACACCCTTTGTATATTCTCCATTTGCCGCTTATCCCAATTGTTCATTAACAAGGCTGGTTTGGCGGCGGCATGTCATATTATTTTAGCAAAAATGCATGCTTTTAGCGTGTGAAAGTGAATTACTTGTCGAAACTTTATGAAGAACAGCTTGAAACAACAACAAATGACATGCCATCATTAAAAATGGTCTTGTTTTATTGCAGGCTGCATCACGACCAAAGAACTTGGAACGGTGATGAGGTCACTTGGACAGAACCCAACAGAGGCTGAGCTTCAGGACATGATCAACGAGGTGGATGCTGATGGTAATGGAACCATAGACTTTCCAGAGTTCCTTAATCTGATGGCCCGCAAGATGAAGGACACGGACTCGGAGGAGGAGCTAAAAGAGGCTTTCCGCGTGTTTGACAAGGACCAAAATGGCTTTATCTCAGCTGCCGAGCTTCGCCACGTAATGACAAACCTCGGCGAGAAGCTCACGGATGAGGAAGTTGACGAGATGATCCGTGAGGCTGATGTGGATGGTGACGGTCAGATTAACTATGAGGAGTTTGTCAAGGTCATGATGGCCAAGTGATGTGGAAAAATGGTTTATTTAGTGTAATNTTATATGGTCTTTTGGAGTCTTAGGGGATTTCTCATTGTTCAGTTTCTTGTGGTTGGGTGACAATTGCTATGGTTTTTGGTGTTCGATTTCCTTTTATTTTTTTGGTAAGTTTGTTGTGATTTGGTGACGCTCGATTGTTGGAGATATGTAGAGTTCATGATGTTCGCTTGGTTTAGGGTTGTTGGACGTGTAGTTTGTTTTCAACTTTGAATTGGCGAATTGGCTTGCTCATATGTGCATTCTGCTAATTGTATGTGTGAAAGTTGAAACAAAGATTGGATCAAAGAAGAGGATACTAAGCGTCATATGTGTGGAAGCTTTCTTGAAAAAGCAAATTGGCATATGGATCTTTCGATATTTGCTAACTTTGACATGATATGTGTATGTGAATTTGGGAAAAGACTACTCCAATTTAGCTAACAGTTCTTGGAAATGCTTGATTTCCCTTTCATCAGGTGGGATTTTTCGAACCGGAGATCATAAAATCACTAGGGGATAGCAAGCACAACTCCCGGTCAAAATGCCTCATAGGGAAACAATGTATTCGCTACATGAAACTATTCTGAAACACAACGTAGACAAAAAAAAAAAGAAAAAAAAAAAGACACCACCAGACCATACGCTCTCATGAATTCATTTCAGCCCATCGAACTGTGGAGTGGAGCTCTGAATATAAGGGTAAACACACAGATGACTCGAATCGTTGTCATGGATGCCAATATCAAGATATTCCATGTCGCGCGTCACACAATTGTAATACAGTAAGTCACCGTGCGCATTCCGAAGAAACACTTTATCATTCTCGTAGAGGCCCACAACGCTATAGAGAGGATAAATACCTAGAGGAGTCGGGTTATGAGTCGACTCCCAAGACCATCTACTCCCATCCCACACCCAAATCTCAAAACAAGGCTTCTTCCAATCAAGTGTGCCCTCGTGCTTGAAATCGTAAATAACACACGCGAGCGACCCGTGGAACTCGGCTAGAACCACACGAGTACTAATAAAGTTGCTGCCGATCTTATCGCTCTTGGGGATAAAGATAAGATAAGGAACATACCTGTCGTTGACAAAGTCAAACGAATTGACAACATAACCACCATCCCAGGCAAGGAAATAGTGAGCTCCATTTATGTGAACAGAAGCATTGCGATAGTATTGCTTGCCGGGGGAATAAATTCTCTTCCAAGAACCGGTTTTGAGCGAAAAAACCTCGGCATGAGTGTTCACTCTATTATTATCATAGTCCAACAAGTGAGTTCGGACAACCTTATAGTCTCCGGATACGGGATCAAACCCGAGGCCGTAACCCATGTGATGACCGATAACCTGGTCGTACCTGATTGAACGGTGGAACCAACGATTCAGTGGATCAGGGAGCGGGCCCGGGGCCACCAAAGAAGGAGGAATAGGTTTGGTTTCGCCTGTCGTGGGGTACCACAAAAACTGCCACGAAACTTGAGGATCTCTTTTACAGCACAACAAAATCCATGTGTTGCAGCTGTCTATAATATTGTAATTGGCTGTTTGGTGGATGGAGTTGTAGTTTTCAGTTGTGAGGAAAGATAAGTCGGGGAGATTGCTTCTTACCATCTTAAGCGAGTTGTTTTCGGTCGAAATTATAGAGTAGTCGCGGGTTCCTTTGTGTACGCGCTCCACCATGAGCATGCGTTTGTTGTTGGTCTTGTTAGCCGGAGTAGCACCGGAAGAGGCGATCCTTGAAGAGAGGGCGGAGAGTTTGGATCTGGCGATGGTGGCGGCGGCTGAGAGGAGTCCCATCTAGTTTTCTCTGTTTTTCCATTGAGTTGCGGTATATTTTGGTTTTGT